TACTCAGAAATTATGTAAAACTGCAGTGCTTTACTTCGCTAATGCATTCTCATTAGAATTGATGAATTTAACCCTTGACTTCACCTTTTCTATATTTTCGGGCTTCAGGGGTAAGCGCGTTGTGATTGCATCCTAATTGACTTAATTATCGAAAATAGCCTTAGACAAAAACTGTACTATCTGATAAAAATCCTATGTAATTATATGCCAGTATTGAAAGAAACAATCAATCTGATAAGAAAAAGCTGCGACTTGTTTCGAAAATGAGGCGTAAAAGGTTACCAGCGAGAATATTCCGTTTGGCATCGGTTGTACCATTATTGGCGACTTTATCGCTTGCGCCGGCATAACGGAAAAGTACCATAAAGGGTTATTACTGTCCTTTTTCCCGCATTTTGAAAGCCATATTATTAAACTTTGGAAGACAGTTGAATATGATTGTTTATTAAATAAACAGACATCAATTCCTTAAGGAACAACTGGCGCAATTTTGACAGAATCTCCTCCAACTCTCATGGTTCAATATTAGCCTGCTTTGATGGTCAATGGGATAATACATAAGTACCTCACTTAATTTTGATGAGCAGTGTATAAATTTTAAGCATCTGAAAGCAAATATAGACTTTGTCTAGTTCTTTGGCACTTGTGCAGGATCAGGAGCTCTGGCAGATGTCGAAGTAATTTTATTATCAGTCATTCCACTTTTGAGTACCAGTTATTTCATTTGCATTAGATGCAACTACAACAGTAGATTGGCCCACGTTGCCCTTTTTTTATTTCTAAAAATTTCTGATGGCTGCCAAGCTATCTTTTGCAGAAAGATTTTAAAAAAAAGTCTAAGCAATAATTCTAAATAAATGATATTCATTTGTTCCATTATTCAGTAAGTCTCAAGAGATCTATGAAGAAAATGAAAAGTTGAAACACATGGAATGCCTCAACACACTATCAAATGATTTAAAAAATATGGAAATTAAAATCAAATGATAAATAAGGAAATCAAATGATAAATAAGGAAATATTTGCAACAGAAGAAGCATACATTTATAGTCAACATATTGACCTTTTTGGCATCTTACTGAACTTTTGGTCCCTGATACGACAAGAGCATATGCTTTGAACAGTTCTATGAATTATAGTCTTACTTCCAAAGAAAAAAAATAAGTAGTATAAGGTTGTACTGTTTCGAGTGAGGAATATGATACTCAACATTACTTCCCTTCAGATCCTTTTTAGTAATCTATAGGAAGATCAACAAAATTTATTACCATTATCAACTACAGACTGACTAATGTGTACATATTTTAATATTTCTCACTACTTAAGGACCATCATTAGGACTCTGTGAATGTTAAGAATATTACTGGAAACTAACTTTGACAGAAAAGATTTATTATATGAACTTCTTGTTTGTATCATCACAGAACGAAATCTGAAAGTTATTTTCATGTGCTAGTTGTTGAACACACACAAACCTACTTATTGCTAGCCTTATTAGGTTAACAATGCATGGTATGTTATGCAAGCGTGTGGCTGTGAGAACTATATTTGAAAGATAATCTGTAGTTTAGAAAAGCTATTTGTTTCTAAGATAGATTCAGGACTACAAGAAGTCTGCTACATAAAAATCACCTATTAAGATACTGATATTTTTGACAGCTTTTTTGAAAATATTGTTTATCAGATCAAGTTGAATGGTGCACAAAAATCGATATAAAAGCACTGGCAAGAATTTACATAAATATGCTTCAAACACTATCGGATGAGATGAAATACTGTCTGGAAGTTTGGAAGACTTCCAGTGGAGGTCAAGTTGAAATTAATTAAGACAATAATTGCAAGAAAAATACTCCAAGTTTTCTTAACAGAAGGGGGGGGAAAAAAAAAAAAAAAAAAAAAAAAAAAAGGGAGGCCAGAAAATTCTAAAATAATATTTTTAAAGATTTTTTTTACACCTTTCATAAAATTCTATATCAAAAGAAAAAAGTATTAGAAACTCACACACACTTTACATGACGTATAAACAGTGTTAAGTGACATGCAAACTTAACTATCAAATATGATCAATGCAATTCTCAACTTTTTTCATTCAATACAGTTTCAGCTCACAAAATTTTTATATAACTATAAATGACATCTATGTAATTTGAATACATTTCTATAACACTTACTTTAAAACAAGATGCCAATGTAGATATCTGTGCAATAGCACAGATTAATGGCCCAAAATATAAATTCAAAGGCTACAATCCAGATGTCCAATAACTGAAATGAACTGTTATTTGGACTTCTCATAAAGCATTTTTTTTTTTTTTTAAATTGTTCCTTTTTCTCACACATTGTAGGAATGGAAAAAGCAAATGCTATTGCACCATAAATCAACTTTTGTTCCAATTAGATCCCCCCCCTCTCCAAAAAACATCATTATCAGCAATAACACTGAATCATTCTGTGTATTGATTTAAAAACCTGCCAGGTAGTAAATTACTTTTTCATTTTTGGCTCTAAAATGATTGCAGGTGCCAGCAATTTTCTATCTTATCTACCCTTGTACCTAATGAGCCCCTGAGATGAGTGCTTACGCTTGGAGTCGAATGCTACACATTTCTGGCTTCCTTTCGTTGTTACACCAGGGAAAAAGCAGAAAGAATTAGGTTCTGTTTAATTTAAGTGTAGCTAGCGCTGCAAATTGAGCTTTTCCTAACTCTCTGATTTGATCCAGCCTTGTCATTTTGCTCAGTCTATTATCAAAATTAAGTTATTATTGTTATCAAAATAAAGTTTTTAATAAAAGAAAACACCTTTGTCTTGCACTCCCCTTGAAATTTCATATCCATCAATCAGTGAATGCATATCAGAATTTTGCATGCACTGAAATGTATATTAAAAAGTACAGTACTTTAGTATTATCCCAACCACCTTGATAGAAATCGCCAAACTGTGACAAACATGCACTAACAATTCTTCAGGTAACAATATTGATAACTGTAAGTTTAAATAAGCTATGTTGCCATTTTAGTAAATGCTGTTTTGGCTGTATTAGAAGAAAAGCAAACTGCAATATTTCTGGTCTTCAGCTAAATTTTGAAATATGTGCTTGTGGGATTTGCCTGCAAACAAAGTTCTGAGAAATTTTTATAGGAATATAATATTTTGAAACAAAAAGGGAAATGTTCACATTTGCACTTCATGATGTTGGAGTCTGTAAAACAACCTTTTTGGAAATGCAGTGTGATAAAGCATAACGAACACATTGGCATTCAAAGTGGTAATTGATTTGAGTAGTCATCTGCCATTTACTACAATTGGATTTATATGCTACTAGAGTAAAGAATTGATGAGTGTTAAATTTTGCTTGGAAGAGTTAGAAATGGCTAGTAAGAATGGAATAATTATATGCGGGAGATACCACCTGTAAGAAGTTTTACAAAATGTTTTCTGAGATAAATATCATACTAAAATTAAAATATGTACCTAATAACATGTATGATATGAAACAAACAAGTTTCTCTGATTTGAAACTACCATCTTTTCCTTAAAAAAACTGCCAAAGTATTCAAGGTGGTTTCAATAATACTAAAGTACCAAAAGTAGTCCTTTTAAAATTGATACAGCAATCCTAGTATTTTTGATATATCTTATATAAAATCTGCTGTGCAGAGCATTGAAAGGTGATGAGAGCACATGTCTGCAGATACTTTTAAAAATGCCTGCATAGGACTACAGTAACAAAACAAAAAATTATGTTTCTCTCTAAAAGTGTTAAAGCATAAAATATAATTCCTTAAACAACTTACACTGCAAAATGATTTTAATGAAACAAAACAAATGTTAGCATTCAGCCCTTTATTTAATGGTAAATTTTTGTTTTCTTAAGATCATAAATGTTTCATTATTTCTAAAATATGGAAATTTCCAGAATCACTGAAGTTCCAATGATTTCAGATCTCAGACTTCGTACTGTAGCACCTTGGCTCAGATTCAGCAAACCCAGAAGTTTATACACATTCTTCTAGAAATATGAGATTATTCTTTTTCTTTTCTTGCTAAATTGTTGAATTTTAGAAGGTAAGAGAAGGTTAGTATGGATTTTTTTTTGTATTTCAGCATCAATTTTAGATCAAGTAGATCAAGTGCTTATCTGTGTTGGAACACTTTTTCTGCAAAGCATTCCTGGGTCAGTGTTTTTTTTCTTCTTGCATTAATTTTTACTGCATTTTGCAATGTGTGTTTACTAGATTTGTCATTACATAAAGTAGAAACAATCCATTATTTCCAGGCATATTTTATTCTTCCAAAAAATGATAAGTGTTTCAGTTCTTATGCAATGAAACAGTACATGGCAGAAGTTAATACAATGAAAATGTAAAAGCAAGAACAGCTAAGAGAGGATTAGAATAAGAAGTGGGAACTTGTTCAAGAGAAGTTGCTTGCCTTCTTATTTAGCAGAGTTCCCAAGTCAGCAGAGACAATCTGCCAAGAATAATCACCTCACCTGATTTTTAACATGACTGCCAAACTATAGCTACCAGCCATTTAAAAAAAAGAAAAAAAAAGTTGCATTGATTTATTAACATCAAAATCTATTTCTTCACTAAAAGGTGGCAAACAGCTTATTGACAGTTATCAGATAATACATAAGATTCAATTTCAATAATTAAACTTGAGAGTGCTTGAGGATTTTAAGTGATAAGTAATGTCATAATAAAAGGCTTAGAAACTGAAATGACTAAGCCAAACTTGTAGTTATAGAACTTTAACAATCATAAATGTACACTTACAGTTTGGACTTTCAGTGCATACATGATTTTAATTTACAGTCTAAAAACATTCTGCAAGTTTAATTTGAAACTGGGCCAATATATGAAGGATGGTGGCATTATGCATGTTTTTTAACAAAAATGTTGGATGCATATCCACTGATGGAATATTGAACGAAAGAAAATCTTTTTAATAACAAATTAATCAACAATAATATTTTAACAAATAAAAATACTTACAGGTCCTAAAATTTTTGTAAAATGATCCACAAACCATAACATTGGTTCCATAAGAGTATCCCCCACATAATATCTGTCTGCAAATTCATTATAGAGTAATGAACGAAATGTAAGTTTAGAGATACTGTAAAGTAACCATATCCACTGGACAAAGCGTTGAACATAACGCAATGTAATCCAATTTCTTATTTTCATGACTATCAGTAGAAATTTTCAAGATTTGAACATTTTAACACGACGATATATCAAATGGATGCATATATGCTTGTATTTTAACAACCTAAAAAAGAAGAAAAAATTATAAGGCATACTTTTAAATTCATGAAAACTATAACACAAAAAGAATAACTACATATAAATCGAATAAAATGCAAAATGCATTTCTCGGCATATATATGAAACCTACTTTTGATTAAAAAATATTAAAACAGCAAATTATATATAAAATGCAATATAATGATACAGTCAAATACCGAAAATCCGCCGATCTGAAATACGCATTGCCTCTCAAAATATAAACATTTAATTTATAGGTTCCGGAAACCGCAACATGGAGAACGAAATATCAAAGAAAACATACTTAGTGGATAGTGACATCATAATTAACCTAATAATAATGAGTCTTAACGGAAATACCAAATTATTGACATCATGATAAGAGTTTTTTTCCCCTCCAATCTGCATCGAGGTAAAACAAAAGCAGATGATTAACTCAACTCTTCTTTCAATTTCACGCTGGTGTACTTTCTGAGCTTTGTTATTTCACGAGATTGTTTAGTGATGTCTTTTTTTTTTATCCGGATATTTTGTGGATAAATTAAGAATATTTTTAATTTCAGTGCTTTTTAATACAATGACAGATAAGAAATGCACTCGTGATTTTACTGCTTGCAACGTTGAAAACTTAAACACGTTGCATTGACGGTAATGAAAAAAGTAGAAATTCCGTTAAAGATGGAGGCAGGTGCTACTGCTCGATTTATAACAGAATCGTATGGAATTGCCACAAGGACTGTGTATGATATATGGAACAATAAAGAAAAGCCGTTGAAATCTTACAGCAACAGTGATTCTAATACCGGAATCCAAAATCAGAAATCTTTACATAGACAAAATTTGCAAACCTTGATGCTGTCTTGTACAAGTGGTTCCGGCAGCGGCGGAGTGATTGGGTACCTATTTCAGGACTATTCTTGAGCAGATTCATGCTGATTTACAAATAGAAAAGCCTAATGTAAATGAACAATATAATATAATCTGTTTATATATGTAATAATAATTAAATGCATATAATTATTGTATTAATGTATAAAATAATTTAATTAAATGTATCTAATACGCCTTATTTACTTTGCCCTTTTAGTCTGAATATTATCTTTTCTGTCCTAAAATCCGCAAAATCCTAAAATCCGCACAACCTCTGGTCCCAAGCGTTGCGGATTTCTGGACTTCTACTGTAATAATAAAGAGTTTAATAAACATTAGAACACATAAAAAAATAATCAGAATTTCTAATAGTACTTTAAAATTGAAGTAAGTTTCTTATAGGATGTAAGTGTGATATATTATATATATGTAATAATAAAGGGACTGTAATATTGATGGCGTAGAGCTTAGAAAGTTGAATCCAAAATGAAGGGTAAGAATTTTGATTGCATAGAATGCTACTCCATAATGAATAGGAAACTGGCAGCGGAGACAGATTAAATCCTCGTTTTATTTTCAATAAACATGTTGCAGCCACAACAACTTGGCACATTACTTGTGCCTATTTCAAAATATTTACATTTTTGATAGATTTGCAATAAGAAGAGAGCAGCACTGTTTTGTCAGACAAAGCCACTGTTCAGGGATGATTCTGTAATGGAAATTTTTGCTACTCAGGGAAAGAGAAAGTAGTGAATAGATCATTATGAGCTCGGGAAGGGAAAGCTATGCAGATGACTAGTTTTTTAGAGCAGTGATCTCAAAATGGTAGCCCACAGGCCGCATGTGGCCTCCGACATAAATTTATGGGAGATGGACGGTACAACTCTGATAAACGCCCTAATTTCACCAAATGTGGCGATATGTGTTTTGCGCTGGTTTTTGGCGCGATTGCATGTTGTATGGCAACCATGTCGACGTTGAAAAGTCTTTTGGTGGAGTAGTTTAAATTGCTAGTTGGTTCGTGTCGCGTGTGTTTTTGAAATGGCCTATGTAATGCGATGAAAGACGTGGTGGGAAGGTTTCAGCCACGTATTTTAGATTGTGTGCAGAGTAAATTTAGTATGAAAAGGTACGATGTTGGAGTTGTTAACGAGTCTTTTGTTCACGGATGTATTTATGGGGATAGTAGTGTATTTTTGGAATTTCTGTGGGAGTCGGGACTTTTAAAACAGAGTTTGATGTGTCCGAAATGCGGAGCTGATATGAGAACTCGGACGAAAAAAGGCGTTTCTGATAGACTTGCGTGGGTTTGCAGAAAATTGTTGCTAATGAAGTATGTGGCTGTCAGCGAAGTTTAAGGTCTGGATCTTGGTTTTCATGTAGCAAGTTAACGTTGGAGGAAGTTTTTATTGTTACTTTCGAAATTTTGAATCGTAGGAAGGCATGTGATATAGCAAAATCGTGGAAGTTTTCTTCACAGACGTTGTGTGACTGGCGAAATTTTGTTAACGAATGTATTTTGGACTTTGTATGCTTTGTATCTGAGAAGATAGGGAGGAAAGATATTTCTGCTTTTAAAAGAAGCTTTCATGGTACTTTTCCGTTTTGCCGGCGCAAACGATAAAGTCACCAATAATGGTTTAACTGATGCCAGATGAAATATCTTCGCTGGTAACCTTTTACGCCTCAGTTTCAAAACAAGTTGAAGCCATTTCTTATCAGATTGTTTCTTTCAATACTGGCATATAGAATTTTTACACGATATTTAAATTTTATCCCCTAAGACAATTCACGGTAATAAGTCAATTAGGTTCTAAGTCACACCATTACTCGGAACGGCAATTACACCGCTCATCCGAAAAAGGCAAAATCAAGGGTTAAATTCATCAAATTCTAATGAGAATGCACTAGCGAAGTAAAGCACTGCGGTTTTACATAATTTCTGAGTAAGCTATTCGTATGAATTGAAATAATTCTTGCAATTTAAACTTGTATTCCAAATTAAGATTTAACTTGAAATTAATGTAGATAATTACTGAGCGAATTAGATTTTAGTAGCGTAGTTTACGTGAGATGAGATCACTTGGGGTCACGTGATACGAACCGGCGAATCAGGATTTTGAACCATGAAAGCATAGTAAATTCTTAAATTAATGTCTTTTTACAAATTTATTGTCTTTATTTATTGGCTTTTTACAAAATTTTAAACCATATTAAAATGTTTATGCCTTCAAAATAAAAAAAAATTCTTTGAATTAACATTTTTTATGTGTATACTGTATGTTGTCGCCAACAAAGTCTGCTTGACGAGATTTGCGCCAGCGAAACGGAAAAGTACCGCTTTCATTATGGTAAGTACATTTTATATTTTATTGTTTTTATTTTGTAGAATGTTATATTCATTGTTTTTTGTATGAATTTCCGTTTTTATTGTTGTTTTTTGAATTTTCTGAAATTTATTTTAGTTTATTTTCTTGATTTGTTTTTAGTGTAGGTTTGTGCAATTTGTAGATGTTTTTTAAAGTTGAAACAGAACTCTGTGTACATGGTATTCTTTGAAATTTATTGTTGTTATGTTAATTTATTAAAGCGAGATGTGCGTAGTTCGTAGATTCGTTCGTTGCCTACAGTGTGCCATTCGTAGATGTTTTTTTAAGTTAAAACATGTTGCTGTGTACGATTCTTGTCAAATATTTTTGGTTAGAAACTTTACGTTTTTGCTATCTAAGTTTTTTGTTTTTGTTTCGGATTTTTAGCTTAAATCGTGTGTTTAAAACGTAGTTTTTGCATGTGCGAAAACCGTGTTTTTGGAGACATTTTAGGCTTAAAGTTCGAAATGTAGACAAAAAATTTAGATAGTAATATGGCAGCGTGAAGTTTCTCGCCAAAAATATTTGGCGACTTGAGGGCGCATATCAGAGTAGTTCCAGATGGAAAACTATGAGTAGATATTATAGCAGTCTCATAAACAAAATTTCAACATTCTACAACTACTTGTTTTTAAATTATGTGAGGTACATACATATGCATGTAAGTACAGACATCATGGAAAAAATCTCTTTTGAATACGTTTTACAATCTGTTTTGGAAAAAAAGAGTCTTTTATTCTGTCCATACATAGATATGAAGCAAAAAATATCATTTAGATGGATTTGAGAACAGTCAAAATGGATATTTTCATTGAAATATGATAGTAAAATTTTTTTACAATCTACTTCGTACAAGGAAGTAAAAAGGACTATTGCATTTCAGGAAATGATAATTTAAAATATAAACAGCATTACAAACATATGAATTGCTGCTCCTTTGATTTTTTAAGTGAAAATAGATCGATGTGTACATGGACAAAGGGAGTGCGCAATGCCAAGTTGGTGCAATTCTCTGATTTTTTTTTAAGTGAAAATAGGTCAATGTGTGCATGGATACCGAATTTGTGCAATTCTTTGACTTGTTATTTTGAGTTTATGTATCGCTGCTACACAAAGCCAAACTAACAAGTCAAAGAATTGCACACACTCAGTATTTGCCAATTTTCGCCAAGTACCTGTAAATATATTTTTACCAGCCAAGTCAATGCGCAATGCTGAGTTTGTGTCATTCTCTGTTTTTTTTTTTTTTTTTTTTTTTTTAAAGTGAAAATAGGTCGATATGTACATGAATACAGAGTTTGAGCAATTCTTTGATTTGTTATTTTGGCTTTATGTAGTGCCCTTTTTTTTTTTTTTTTTTTTTTTGGCACAAAAATTGTTGCTACACAAAGCCAAAATAAAAAGTCAAAGAACTGCACAAACTCGATGTCCATGTACCAATTTTCACCAAGGGGCACCCATAAATATATTTTTACCAATTTCTTTTCATTTTTGGTTTTGGCATATTTTGCCCCTTTTTCTTGTAGTTTGCCACTGTGCATTTTGATTCTTGCATATGTTTATTCTGAATTAAATAAGGAATGAATTTTAAACATTTTTTAAAAAATAATTTTGTATTACAGTCAAAAGTCTTTAATCCGGACCTCAAAGCTACAAACTTTCTGTGCATGCGTAAACGCATAATGTGTTTACGCAAGCGCATAAGTACCTTTACGCTTGTGCATAATACGTTTACACATTCGCGTTTAATGTATAACGGACGGTATAAGCTAAGCTAAAATTATCTATTTCAGTTAATGTTGCAGATTGCGTTGTTCCTTAATCTTCTAATTGGATCCAGCTTATTTTTTGCAGACTGTTAGAGCAATTTTATAAAAGTAAGCTTGAACTTTCGAGTATGTCAAAAAGAATTTCTGATTCTGGATCTGCCAAAGGATCTACAACGCGAAAGCATGTCCATCAAACAAAAAGTGGAATTGCTGCAAAAAATGGATGAAGGCATATCCTTTGTTTCTCTAACCATTCCGAAATCTGTTTATCAATTTCATGCTGCTCTGCGGAGGGGGGAAACATCACAGCACGCAATGAACTGGAAATTGATCTGTCGGCACTATCCTTATCTTCAGGGCAGATGCTTTTATTTTATTCGGCTTATAATTCCTCACTAAATGTAGTATTTCATCTCTATGTACTCCGTCTTTGATATGATTTAAATCAAATTCCTCATCATTATAAATATCACGGATACACATCAAATAGTTTTGTGGTTACGATTTTCTAATTTCGACTATGCGTAATGTATGCCTTACGCATGCGCGCGTTGAAAGAAATGTTTAATAAAGTAAACAAATAAATATTAAACTTTTTTTTTTTGTAAATTTTGATACCCTTTAGATCATAATTGCTCTTTATTTCATAAATTATGGTTTCATATTTTTAATTTTATAATTTCTGCATGCCATCTTACCAGATTTAAACTGATGATCTATAATCCGGAATCGCTGAAGTCCCGACGAGTCCGGATTAAAGACTTTTGACCGTATTTGTTACACTCCATGTAACAAATCCATTTAGAATTATTGAATACCAGCTAATATTAATACCATGTACATTTTTGGTCAGTTTGATTGCTTATAAATAATAAACATATAAGAATACTTCCTGATTATTTGCACTCTCACCAAAAAGTCACCGAAAATCATTCATAAGCCAAAGCAGTATGTTGCAAAAATTGTTATATGACAAGCAATGATGTTGCCAAAAAGTATTTAAGCGTCAACCTAAGTAAGCATATAAGACATCTGTTTTGATCAATGTGCAATGACGAAGTTGAAGTTTTAAATGAAAACATATCTCTGTGACATAGGGAAGAATAATAGCCCCCCCCAAAAGAAGGATTTCTTGAAAAAGATAAGTATATTATTAACGATGTTTATTGCTTTTTAAAATTTTACTGATTGATCTTGTATGGAATTATTAGAACAATGCGATTTTGAAAATGACTGTTGCCTTTCATGCATTAGCTTGGTGAAAAATTTGTATGCAATGAGTACAAGAAAGCTCTAAAAGTCTCCACTAAGTCAGCAACGTTTTGGTGCAGGGTGCAGAAAAATAACAACATAAGTGTATGTAAAACTTACACACATAAAAATATTTTAAGTTATTGCAGTTATAAAACAAGTAAAAGAGCTACTTTAAGTGAGATAAACAGACTCTATGCTACTGAATCATAATTTTGTTATTTCTTATGCATATTACTTTGTTTTAATAAATAGAAGACAACTTATTTTAATGTGATTCTCCAAATTAATAAATATGTCAAAAAAAAATTTTTATCACCAAAGCAAAGGTTTTTTCACAAAGGGCGCAAATCCAGAAACATGCTTTCCAAGGTATGCAACTGCAACATATGCTTACATTAAGTGTTATAAATGTTATATTAAAAATTAATAACTGTTTTATTTCTAAACTGTTTGTTATATTTGTTTTATCTGTCACCAAAGGTATAGCACACGAACTATTATCATGAAAAGGGAATTTCTTACACTGCAGCCTTTAACTCGCACATTAATGGTAACTAACAAATATATTTATTATGATGCCCTAATATTAAATGAATATTGAAAAATGATACTGAATTGTGCCATTCCACTGCAAAATATTTCTCTCAACATATTAGTTTACTGTTCACGTGACACTGAATGAAATAATGTTTTTGAATGAAACTTTTCTTTAGTGGCCAAGCGCTTTATTCAATAGTCATTAGTCTTGCACCACTACAAGGGCCGAAAGTGGTGGCCATTTCATTATGGAAGCAACTAACAGGTCACCACTGTTGCCTCCTATGAAAGGAAGAACAGCTACAACCATGCCTTCTCCAGCATTCGAGCCCGGTCCCATCACTAAGGTAGTCAGGGTCACTAACCACTATACCGGCTGGGTGGCTCGAATGAAAATTAAGTCCTATTATTTTTACAGGAAAGTTATTAATCTTTATTGCCTTCTTCATTTCTAATACTACTTATGGTAATAATTCTGTAGCTTCAGGTGACGTTTGTGCGAATTTCGAAAGCAGAACTATCGATTTGCTTTCAATAAATAAAAGTAAACCAAGACTTAAGGAACAATATTTTTCTGTGATCAAATTTATACTGCTCAAACAAGGTAAAAATTAATGCAGGTAAAACCATTCATCACTGTTTTGCGCTTTAATTTAACCAATATTACACTGATAGTCTTAATAAGACAGCATCTATCTAAGAATATAAGTTTTAGGAAAAAATACGATGTTTTACTGATAATTTTAACAGAAACTATCAACAGGAATTACCTTGTTAACGGATTTAAAAGCAAGATACCATAAATTTTGCAAACTTTATGGCATTCTTAAAACACACAACTAATTTGAATCCATCCATTAAAATGAAACATTTACTACCATGATACTACATTTGAAAGAGTTGAATCCCATAGTTTACATATGTGACAGTGTTGATTTTGCACACTATATTTAAGTTTTTTTGCCTACTATAAGAAAGAGCGCTTGCTCGCGATAAGCGGTTAAAGAAAAGCTTTCATCCTCACTGCTATTCGCCAAGTAATATTCACTGTAAAATGTCGTGGTGATGGCGCTGTGATCACGTACGATGGAGGCAGGATCTTAGAAGAGCTCCTAAATTTTCAAAGGTGTTTTTCAGAAAATGCTCATTTCCTTAAGTAAAATTTTCGCGAATATCCTCTGCAATGTCTCGTTCTCAAAACCGAAAGTTCTCCTGTACCTAAAGGTCTTATCTTCCTTGTAAAATCCTTTACAACACAAAGACGGAACATTCAGATAATGTGTGTGTGTGTGTTTTTTTTTTTTTCCCATGTGGTTTTTTTTTTTCTTCTTTTTTTTTTTTTTTTTTTTTTTTGTTTTGTTTTTTGGTTATCATTTCGTACTACTAAGAACATTTAGTGAATTTGAGTTTCAGAAAGCAGCGCCTCCTTATATTCTGTATCACATGAAGAACATCAGTAAAACAAAAAGACGAAAGTAAAAGTCAGGTGGCCGCCATCAGTCGACGGAAAAGATGAGTGTCTGGTCGAAGGGTACCATTTCGTAGGGACGCTATCTTTATCAGTACTGTTAGCACTACCCATCGGGGCCCCTTTGAGGAATTTTTCGAGAGGGAAGAAACACGATCTTGGGCCTCAATGAATGTATAGATTTGCGGTTTTGTTCCTTTAATCTATATTTCCTATCTATTTAAATTAAAATCATATACAGTCAAAAGTCGTTAATCCGGACTCGTCGGGACTTCGGCGATTCCGAATTATCGATTTTTCCGGATTATAGATCATCAGTTTAAATCTCGTAAGATGGCATGCAGAAATTCTAAAATTAAAAATATGAAACCGTAATTTATGAAATAAGAAACAATTATGATCTAAAGGGTATCAAAATTTACAAAAAAAAGCTTAATATTTATTTGTTTACTTTATTAAACATTTCTCTCAATGTAAGTTGTTTAAGTTGCTCCGTTTTATGTGATAATACTTTCTCTTTAATTTTATAAACAGACATAATTTCTTGTTCAGTTACAAAGTTCCGCTGTCAAGTCCCGTTAATTGCTGTGCCGAGAATACCGACTAACTCGTCAATCGAAATTTTTCGTTTTCACTAACCTCTCTGTCACATTCTTCATGTCTTTATCCATTTTTTGCAGCAATTCCAATTTTTATTTGATGGACATCAAAACATACTTTCGTTTTGTACGATCCTTTGGGAGCTCCAGAATCGGAAATTCTATTTGACATAATCGAAAGTTCAAGCTTACTTTTATAGTATTAGTCTTACAGTCTGCAAAAAATAATAAGCCTGATCCAATTCGAAAATTAAGGAACAACGCAATCATCAACATTAACTGAAATAGATAATTAGATAATTTTAGCTTATACCGTCCGTTATACATAAAACGCGCACGCGAAAACGTATTCTGCACTTGTGCACACGCATATGCGCAGACGTAAAAGGTCTTACGTGAACGCGTACACGCCTATGCGCATGTGTCAACGCGGCGCATGCGCAGAAAGTTTTTAGCTTTGAGGTCCGGATTATAGATCATTCCGGATTATGGGTGTCCGAATTAACGACTTTTGACTGTATTAATACAGTGTGCCTCAACTTGATAAACTAGTACACATATAATAAATTATGACGGTTAAATAAATAAATAAATAAAATGCTTATTTTTTTTAAAAAATTAATTAATATTAAAATTAAAATAAACTCTGTAATTTTATTTACTTATTTATTTTTGCTGATATGTTCTCGCTCTGTTTTCGATTTATGATTTTGTCTGATGGTGTTTTCTGAATAAATTATGAATATGTTGGAAACTGAAAATAGATGATGTTACTTTAGTTTATATATAATTTTGCATGATATTATATGTACTTTGATCTTGTGTGTCTTTTGTTACTGTATCTTAGAGGCTAACATATTGTTTCCCATGTTAAAAAAATAAAATTTTAATTAAAAATTTTTTTAAACTTTAGTTTCCCTGTCATAGCAAAAGTTAGCTTCTAAACTAGTCTTATACTGTTATGTGACTAGATCCCCAATATTTATATTTTTATTATTAATTTTCCATTTTCCCCCATCTTCACGTCTATTCAGCTTTACAAAACACACTCATTACACACACCTTGAAGACTCTATTTAATGTAAATGATAACAACTTCCTTCCCTTTTTGACTACACTCATGGATACAATCGTTGTTTTTTTAAAAGAAAATTCTCTTATGTCCTTTCCTTTTCTTTCTATTGGCCCATTTTTAAAAAATTATAAATATAATTTTTTTCTTCTCCATTACTTTTGGGCCATTTATTTTTTACTTTATTTTGTCCCCATCTTTTCTTCCTGGCCTTTCGAACTCGTATAAAAATATACGAAGTTCCTTTTTACTTTCCTCTGAAATACGAAATTGCCCCCCTTTCTTTATACCTTTCCTTCGCACCTATGCTTGATTTTTCACCCATCGGTGCAGAAACACTTAGCGGGTGCAACAAAAGACACCTGTCTACTTTGTCTGTCAGTAAAATGTCGTCTACATCCTTTATGAAGCCAAATGTCAACTACAAGGCTGCTCTCCAAACATTATCCGGTAGAGTGGAACACGGAAATTGAATTTAATCGGGGCCAAATAGATGTCTATGGGCCAGCTCTAGAGCTTCTAGAGAGGACTCCGAGAGGAATCTTGAATCTAATGCGGAATCTGTAATCTTCAACCCGTGGGCCTTTTACTACCATAATTTACGATTATCCCTTTGGGCAGTCAATTTTGTTTTTTAACCAACTTTGGCTTGTAGAGGCATTATTTAAAATGACCAGACAAAAGCCCACTGGACGAAAGTGCAGGCGACAAAAGCCCACAAAAAGGACCCCACTGTGATAATTGCCCACGCGACAAACACCCACATCGATGAAAGCGCACATTGATAAAAGCCCACACAGATAAAAAGCCCACACAGATATAAGCCCACACTGACAAATACCCACACCGATATATATGCTACGTTAAAATTAATATTTTCTCTTTTTTTTAGCTGTACAAAGCAGATTCATGAATAAAGATAAAAAAAAGCAAATTAAATTAATAACAAATAATTGAAGAATAAATTTAAGTAGCGGAACACATTTCATTTTGGGCTCTGGCTGCATTAAAACCCCGTATGTAAATAGAACAGATTCAATCAAAATAATGTAATTAAAAACATATATATGTATATGTAACTTTGTTATTATATTTACGCGACAAAGGGAAGTGACCTCGTATAAGTCCAACAAAGGGAGGTGAAAAGGAATACTGGCTACACTTGCTTCTTTTAATTCTACAAAATTATAAGCAGTATAAAATGTACGCAATTTTTCATCGTATACAGAGAATAATTTATGAATAATTTAACAATTCAGAAAATTTTGCCTATAATGAATTTAATATGGAGAATTAAAGTCGAACTTTAATTTCAACGAAAAAGATGGAAGTACCGTATTCTATTATGATTAAGAAAACATTTGTGTGTACTATCATAAATAGTTTTAATATTAAATTAAAAGCACGGCTTTAAATAGTTTAGTTAAATTTTGAAAGCTTCGATTTTATATAAATCAATTTCATTCTCACTTGAAATTTCATTTTTAATCATAATAATTATTATTCGTAACATTTTTCAAGATGGATTTCCTGAAAATGTGGGTAGTTTTTAAGTGGGCATTCGTCTTATGAGCTTTTGTCATGCAGTTTTCTAACTGGCCGCTGGCTATTCAGGTGGGATCCATTGCTTTCCTTTTCTTTTGCCCGCAATCCAATCCAATCCATGCATATATCGAGTAAAAGCAACTTTACCGGCTCCTGATAGTTTGCCATGATGGCACCTGGCAGTTGGAGGTAGCAAATTGGTGGTGAAGGAGGAACTGAAGTCTAGGGGGAAGAGGAGGTGACCATGCGTCACAAGGGTGGAAAACCAGACAATAAGATCATGGGAGAGAAGACTGAGTGCGGAGAAATCATAAATTCATGAACAATAAGTCCTGATAAGTATGGTGGTAGAGCATACATAAGCATGATACAGAAATGAATTAAAGTACAGTAATAATATAAACAAAATAAAAATACATTCATAAGCAATATAATAAATAACTGAAATAAAATTTTGGATTAAATAATGAGAGAAAAGCTAGATTAATAAAGAAAACTATAGAATAATAATTATGATACAATATATACACAAAAGAGCTATGTCGGCAAATTCGAGTCACAGAGGTGGGCCGTCCAGGGTCCTAAATCTCTGTCTTCTTGCAGGATGATGTGGTTGAAAACCTGGAAGTTATTCATATACGGACAGGTAAAATCTTTTTTGAAGAAGTTTTCATGAAGCTTGTAAATGAAATCTTTAATGTAGTCTATTTTTAAGTCTTTATGCAGAGTGGTATTGGAGACGAAATGATGAGCGTTCGTAATTAATCTTAAAAATTTATTCTGGATAATTTGTAACTTTTTTAGGTCTTTTTCCTTGATAGTGGCCCAGGCGCGAGAAGCATAGCACAGAATAGGCCGAATGATGGCTGTATAAATATGGCATTTTCTTTTGAGATCCAGACTAGAGAATTTTCCTAAAAGTGGCATAAACCGTTTCATATTTCCATAAGATCTGTTTCTAATATTATTTATATGGTCAATTCAAGTAAGTCTATTATTAATGGTGATGCCTAGATACTTAGCTTTCTTGACTATGTTAATTTCCGTGTCGAATCCTTTTAAACTGAAGTTGATAATTTGTCGTGAGCGTTTATTTCTGCTTATGATTAAGAGTTGTGATTTATCAGCATTAATAGCCACTCTCCATTCATACACTAGTGCTCAATATGGGGAATAATTTCTTGAAGTTTTTGAATTGCAATATTTGGGCTCAGGGACTTTACTGTACGTCTGCATAGCAACCTAAGAAGTTGTTTATGCCATTATGAA